GGAACTAGGATTCTGCCAGCTACTGTCAGCAGATACTATGACAGCAAGAAACAGAGCTCCCTTGGTAAACAGCTCCATAAAATGGAACAAACTCTGTTGAAAACTTAAGACCACTGCAAGCCTCCGTGCTTTTCCTCTTCAAATGCCAAGTGCGTTGCTCTGACCGCCTGCACTATAAACAGGCAGCTATTTAGAAACTTGTATAAAATAAAATTCCAAAGCAAAACACTCCAGCAGTTCTCTGTGAGCTGTTCGTCATCTGGTGGGAGGCTGCAAGACTACGGATGACAGTGTTGGATGTGCTGAGTAACGCCTGGCTGAGGAGCGCTCGGGTGCTCTGGCAGTGAAAAGCTCTGTGAAGTGGTGCAGAAAGCAGGAAGGCTCAAATCCCAAAGGATCTCTGTGTATTTCAGTCTTTTCTCAGATATCCAAAAAGCCATATAAAGCATGAGCCAAGTATACAGAGAAACATAAACCTACAGTTGGCATGTTTCATTTAGGAATATATGTATGTTGGCAGTTTTCCTTCTCCTCCACCTCACTTAGGGTCCAGATTCAGCCAATCTGTTAAACATTTTACTAGCTTTGATGGACACAAACGTTCAGGACAGATTTAAAGTTAAGCCTATACTTTATTGCCCTTAGGAAATGTACCTAATCATGAAACAAGGCCTGATAATGAACTTACAATGAAGTCCATAAACTTCATGCAATAAAAAAAAGTAGGGAAATGTTCTGAAAGTGAATTAAAAACCAGCCAGCTCAAGCTCATATCTCATCAAGCACAAAGCCAGTAATTTTTCATGCTAAGTACTTACTCTGGCACTAGTGTTCAAATCTCAAGTGAATAAAGGTCCTGGTTATGGCAAGCATTAAAAAAAACCCCAAAAATTCCAAACTAAACTTTTTTTATTATTATTCAGAATTACAATTGTGGCTGTTAAGCACTCAGTTCTGTCATGTGGCTATTTCCACAGTATTGAAAGCATGTTGTGCCTTGATGACACAGCTCTTCCCCTGCCCATTTTATCAAGCAGTGAAGCGAAAATAATTGAAAAAGAGATGTGTTTCACACCATGCGTGTCAATGCAAGGCTGAAGCCTCATGCTCCCAGGCATGCATGGCACTCATCCTGCTGCCAGGGCTCTCAAGACATTGATAAACTCTTGATATTGTTTAAAATAGAAAACAAACATTCCTCTTCACAACACACATTAAATAACCATGCACAACATGATTTCTACAAAACTTTACACTGCTGATCAGAAACTTCTAAGACAATCAGGCACAGCATATACTTCAGATTCTTCCTAGATCCTCAAACATATGAATACTACCATGAGCCCTTCATCACTGAGGTTATTATTGTGGTGTGCCATGAAAAAAATCAAACCTCAAGAGACTGTACAGAGCTTCAGTCTAAGGTCAGGAGCCAGAATCAAGTGTAAGAAGATGAGATTCAGGATTAAACAGCTGTGTCCTGTTGAAGGACAATAGGATGATCTGCACAAATGGCAAATCAAATGTAGTTCTTACCAAAGTATTTGAGCTTCAGAGAACACTTGCTAATGGTCCTGCAGCTCCTTCACTTTTCACACTTCATTATGCCCAACTCAGAACCTTCATGCACTGCAGAACAGCTGACTTTGTTCCCCCTCTGAATATACTGGAGTTCCTAATATGCAGCAGTTTGTTCTTACTAAGATGTGAATGACTGGCCAGAACACACAGAATCAAGAGGACTTGGGGTTTTCCTAAATCTCAGATTGCAACACAAGAAAGAAATTTCAGAAATTAACTTTCCCACTATCTTACCATGAATTTAATACTGAATTCAATACTGGAAGGCTTATACTCCTGAATCTGATCAAAAGCAGGACTGGGAGTTGGTGGTGGTACCCTTTTTGAACACACAGCACAACAAAGGAATCCAGATCAGAACTTCTAATCATTGTGGTGTTCCAGTGTCATTCTGTAATAGTTACTAGAGCATCAGAACTCTAATCCTGACAGATCTCATTTGCAGGCAAAACTTACTGTTGCTAGACAAAACACACAAGCTGGTGAAAGGAGAAAAATCATTGGCAATTATTTACCAAGCTAGCTGAAACATTTGCTTTCCAATTAGGATTCAAATTCGCTAACAATTCAGTAATATCCAGGAGAAAGATGATAAGGGAGGGTTTTATGAAGTGACCTTTTCCAGCCTGAATGCAGCTTCCTATGTAGCAACTGTTACTGGGGAAGGGCTGGTTTCACCCACAAAGAGCTAACTTTCCCTGGTAATAGTTAAGCAGCATCACAGTAGGCTTTGGCCCTTTAATTGTTTAATTACTTTTTGTTGTTGAATGCCAACAACTCCCATTCACACCATGTAGTCTAAGGCGATTTGGGGAACAGTAAAACAGCTATGGTTTTGGAAATTTTAATCATAGCATTTTGTTGCTGCTCTTGGTAAAAGATGTATAAGTCAGCACAGACAGTAAGGAACTGGCAAAAATCTCAGAGGAAATAATTTTGACTTCCAGTTTTTGTCAAGCCAGTTATCATCCCTTATAGATAATTATCACTATAATGAAGACTGAAATTGAAAAACACAGAACAAAAGAAACTACTGGTCCTGCATTTGTCCTCCAGATGCATAAGGGGTGCCACGCTTTCAGAGCTGAGCAAACAAATTTAGTATCAAAGCAGTTTTGTTTGGGTGGGTGTTTTTTTCCCTTTAATCCCTATACACACATTGTTCTTATGATAAAAATCAGGAACTTAAAACAGCAAATGCTGTGTTGATTCTGTAACATTCATTAACCTACACATACCTCTCTGTATTTGCACTGCTTTATCTATTTTTTATATATAAATTGTGTATCATTAAGAGTTATCTGTACAGCAGCTACCAAAGAAATAATAAGACAAATTTAAATATCCATTCTTCCCTCAGCCTCACAGTTCTAAAGTAACCTGGTCAACAGGCCTTGAATCCAGCCAACATTCAAGAGGCCCTGTCTCAGACAGCTTTTGTAATAAGTGTCACTGGCACATCCTGTCCAGGTCAGTCAATTATCTTTTATGCCTCTAGTCCCACCTTCTTTTCCCCAGTAACTGCTAGATCCATATTCACTTCAGAAAGCATAACTGGAAATCTTGAGAACATAAATCCTGCATTATTCTCAAATATGTGAAAATAAGAGAATGGGCTTTCAATTCATCTGCAGACATCTGCAAAGGATCAAAGCATGTGTTCTAAAAGCTTATAGAAAAACAGGTAAAAATATGTAGTTGTAGCACTGATTTGGGAATAATTTCGTTAAATTCAAGCAAACATATGAGACCTGTGCATTTTAATGAACTGAAAAGAGCTAAAATCCTGTGCAACCATTTTTAAAAGAACAGATTTATTCTAAAGATCCTTCACAAACACCAAACAATTCTGCAGGACATGCACAGCATGTTCTGAATATTTGATAATTTCAGCCAGAAATTCCTTCACCAATCAAAAGGCAAGTAGTTTCCTAACCTGCAAACTTAGATTTGCCCAGGAACCTTGCTGTTGTAGGGCAGCAGGCTCACAGAGGGTAATCTGCTTTTAAAGGCTGCAAAAATGCCCTTTAAAAAAAAAACAAAAAACAAAAAAACAAACAAAAAAACCCACAAAAAAAACCACCAAACTTTCTTATAGGTAGAGCTCATTTCCCTTCTCAGGAAGGAGGAAGCTTAACCAAAGCCCTGCTGAATTTAAGATACAATTAACTATAAAACAAGAACAGAAGTAAACTCACAGATTCAAAGTGAAGGACTTAGAGGCAGATACAGAGAAATCCCATGGTGTAACTGCTGTCCCTCAAGGCAGCCAGTCACCTTTTTTATCTTCAGTACCAAAATCTTCTGCTAAAACCTAAAGCAACTCTCAGAACTCAGAATAGCAAAGCAGGAGTTCCTGCATTTTCATTCTCTGGCCTGACAGAAGCCACCTTGGTCAGAAAAGGGTTGACAAAGAGGTCTCTCAGCTTCCTGGGAGCCCTAGTTGGCTCGGTAAATATAAACAACTGAACAAAAACTGCAACATAACATCAGTAAGGGTCCATGGCAGAAACAGGTCACAGCCTGGTATGTGTACACCTACCACATGTTCTGGAATTTGGTTAATGGGACACTCTCTAGGAAATGTCAGCCACCCAGAAGCAACTGGGAAGCTAATGAGAGAAGGACTTGGTGCTGGAACAGGAAGACACCTGCTTGCACAGTTTGCTCAAAGGCTCACAAGGGATCACCACATGTGCTAGAAAAACACAACAGTGCCCACCCACCCTCCAGCCACACTCACAGAAGTATCTGGGAATTTTAGACCTTCCATTCCTTATTCTGAGTTCAGTAACCTGAAATAAATTAATGTCATATAATGTACTTTGCAATATAGAGAAATTAAATTTTGAATGCAGTTGAAATTAAACTAGTCCTGCTGATATTCAAGAATATTACACAAACTCTGGCCAAGCTGGAGCTAAAGCTATCAACTGGCAGGCTAATGCCAGCATACTGATCTGTCATATGATGCCAAACAGGAAATATAATGGCTGAGCTCTTCCTACCTTTCTCTTAACAGATCACTTGTTTCACTTTTTCTCCTCTATGTGGTTACTGAGTTACCTTTTTTTATCTGTAAGGAAGAGTATATTACACATCCAAGGACTATTTTGGCCAGTATTTTACAGTTTCCTTTATGAAATAAAACCCTTCACCAATTGTTTTATCAGATCTTCCTTGCCTTAAAATTAGTTTACTTGCACCACTGCTATCAAGAGAGCAAGATATCTACTTTTCTTTTCACAAAGTATTGCTGATTCTGTTAAAAAAAATTAAAAAAAGATAAAGTCCTGACTTCATTTAATCAAAGCAAAGAGAAAAGAAACTGAACTATCATATCAGTTTCTAAGGCATTTACCAGTACTGATTGGAGTCCAAAGTGATTTCATGTCTTCTGACAATGACATAGAGGGCAATTCTTAAAATCACTTTTATTTTCATATGTATCTTTACTGCAGTTTATTTGTACAGGCACAGCATTTTATAAAGGAACTTGGATTAAACAGCAAGAGAGACATTTATCCATTAGTTCAAAGGAAAGAGAAAAAAACCAGTAGTTGCCTTGAAAGGTTCTGTGAATGATTTACTCATTTCCTTTCTTACATTCTCAGTCCCACTTGGAAGTTCTCCTCCTCATGTATCTGGATCCCTCACTGTTGATTGCTTCATAGAGGTCCTTTTTATTCTCTGCTGTTGCATGCAAATAACCAAGGTAAGCCACACAGAGGCTAATTGCTATCAGTCCAAACGCCATCACAGGTTTGTTCTGACAAGAAAAAAATGTGGTAAATGTTTTTAGTCAAAACATTTTTCATTAAACTCAAACATCACATTTGTCTATCTCAGCTTAGAAACTGAACAATAACCTATTGTGATATCTGCAAAAAATCATCACTGCCCACTTGCAGACTGAATTTTCTGACAGCAAAAGGAATTCCCTTTGGAAAAGAAGATTCTTTCTGGAGACAGAACAGCACATTGCCCAGTACTCTCTATTTTGCTGATTGGAAATGCTGATTGAGTATGAATGAACCAGACAAAACCAATTACTGAAGGTCTCCACTAAAAATTTTTAACAGAATAAATCTGGATATACTACTGGGACAATGCACTCTGGTCCTGCTTGATTACAATCCTCTAAACCCAATTTTGTATCCTTATCACAAAATCTACTCTTATTATATTAAATCTATACTTATTATATGCACAAAATTTCATCAATTTTGGGTTATGCAAATAAAACCTGACTATCATCAACTTAATTATAAAAGCAAGAAAAAGGAAAATCCAAAATATTGAAAAGCTACCAAAAATCAATTCACTTCATACCAAGAAAGTTTGCATTCTATGACTTGTTCCCTTCTAAATATTAAAAACAACTCCTGTTGTTTTTATTACTTAATAATAATATTATTTAACCTGTCAAGTTACATGGGTAATATACCTCTAAACAGGTCTTTCTGAAAGCAACTTGGCTAGATACAAAAGAATCAGACATTATAGCAATGAAATAAAAGCAACAAAAAGTAATGTAATGTTCTGCGCTATACACAATCAAGGGTGTAAAAAAGTAAAAATATTTTTAGTTACATTTCTGTTTGGTTCGCATAACAAGAGGTGATTATATAATGCACAGAGAATTGTAATGATCACTTTAAAGCAACTGTATCTCTTGAAGAATATTTAGCTTCTCTCAGAATGACTGTCTTACAGGTTTAATGAAAAGCTCTGGGTTCACAGCTCGGAAAAGCATAGTTGTCTGAACACTCCTCAGTCCTGGTTTTCTCTCTTTGGGTGTTTCATTTTCATTTGGAGGTTTGGTGGAAGACATGTTACTTAATGTTGAGTACTTCCTAGAAGTAGAATGAAAATCAGGTGTAATTTCTGTAAAAAAAACTGAAAGAGCTACATTCACTGAATGCAAATTCACACTCTAACAACATCAACTTTAACTAGTGTTAATATTACTGATTACCTCTAGTGTCACCTAACATTCGCAGCTTAAGCACACTGATTTTCAATCTTGTTAATTGTGTGGATCCTAAAATTAACTTTAGGATATTCAAATCTTCATATTACATATCTAAATCTCCTGTTGATGGGCTTAGGGTTTTTCACTTGCCTTTGGCTAATACTTTAGCTACCTGTGGACCAATCAGCATCAGTCTTCAGACCACTGGCTAAAAAGACAATCCTAGGAAAAAATTTATTTGTTTAAAACTTCTACATGACAGGCCAGCACAAGCACCACTGTAGTGCAGTCACTTTAGCCACCCACCCCAGGCCCAACATTCGGGTCTCATTTTTGCACTCACAAGGCACATTGCAAATGCCTTGGGTTCAAAATGAAAGAGGGGAAATTTAAGCTACTTAGAATATGCATCAAATTCTTTATTCTGGGGGTAGTGAGGCACTGGAACAGGATGCCCAGAGAAGCTGTGGATGCCCCATCCCTGGAAGTGTTCAAGGCCAGGCTGAATGGGGCTTATGAGCACCCTGGTCTTGTGGAAGGTGTCCCTGCCCCTGGCACGGGCCTGAAACGAGATGATTTTTAAGGTCCTATTTCATCTTCCCCAACACTTACAAACCCAAACCATTCTATGAGCACATGAGCAAAAGTGGAAAAACATTCCCTTGGCTACCCCTGATTACTGAGGGGCAGAGGGGACACGGTGCTGAGAATCCCCTGGGAAGGGAAGGGCAGCGCAAGGGCAGTCGAATAACCCCATTCCGGGCGGCGAGGGGCTCCTGGCGCCGCCACCGGGACGAAGGGGGCAGTTTGGCCCCAATTTGGAAGAGCCCGGCAGGAGCTCCCGGGACACCGGAGAGCCGCGGGAGCCCCGGCGGAGCCCCCTCACGGAGCCCCCTCACGGAGCCCCCTCACGGAGCCCCCTCACGGAGCCCCCTCACGGAGCCGCCTCACGGAGCCGCCTCACGGAGCCCCCTCACGGAGCCGCCTCACGGAGCCCCCTCACGGAGCTCCCTCACGGAGCGGCGCAGGGAAGGCACAGCACCCACCCCGCGCGCGCCGCCCCCGCTACTCACCGCTCGCCGCCAGCGCCGCCCCCCCGCGGGCCGGGCCGCGGCTGCGCCTGCGCGCTGGCTCCCCCTGCCGGGCGGAGGCCGCCGCGCGCCCCTCCCCTCATCCGTGTGGCGGCGGAGCAGCGCCTTCTCCTCGCCTGCCCGAGGCATGGAGCTGTCTGGGCTGGAAGAGACTTTTCAGGTCATCCACTACAACCGTCCACCCGACTCTACCACTGTAACCCATAACCACTAAATCACCCAGCGCTAGGTCCAGAGGCCTCGTGAACACCTGCAGGGATGGTGACTCCACCACCTGCCTGGGAAATATTTCAACGCCTAACCACCCTAACAGCAAAAAAATATTTTTCTGATGTTTAATCTAAACGTCCCCTCTCTCAGTTCAAGGCTATTCCCAATAGTCCAGTCACTGCAGACACGGCAGAAGAGACCGGCCTCAAAAACTTTCTTCAGGGAGTTGTGGAGAGGGATAAAAGTCCCCTCAGGCTCCTCTGCTTGAGAATAAACAACCCAAGCTCCCTCAGCTGTTCCTCATAAGACACATTTTCTAGAACTTTAAAGAGCCTTCTTGCTGTTTGGTGGCCCCACTCTAGCACCTTTATGTGCTTTATAAAGTGTAAAGCACAGAAGACAGCGCAATATTCAAAAATAGTAAGTGGGAGACAGAGGGAGGAGCTGGCTGCATCAGCTGGGCCCTTCAGCTGAGCCCCCCCCATAGCACCTGGGCATGGTCACAGCCAGTCCTGCCTTCATGCTCTCCGCAGCCTCCCTCCGGGTACTGCAGATGCTCTGGAGGCCCCCTTGTAGTTGTCTCGTCTCAAGGCTGAGCAGGCCCTGCTCCCTCAGCCTTTTTTTTTGTAAGAGATATGCTGAAGTCCCTTAATAATCTTTGTTTCCTTCTGCTGGATGCGTTCTAGGAGCTCCATGTCTCCGTTGTACTGAGGATCCCAGAACTGTCTGGTTGATCCCAAGTGCTGGACTGAGGAGGGTGTGATTAATGTGGGGACGGTTTCTGGAGTACAGTCGGCTGAGCAGGGAAATATGCTACAATTTAAGTGTCCAATTTCCATTGTGTAGATCCAAACCTGAGATTTTGGGCATCTGGAAACTCCTGGTTACGTAAATGCTGCTGTGTGGTGATGTTTTGTTTCCTTTTAATTGTAAACAGTAGAATTAATAAAATTGCTTGAAGTCCAGAGGAAACAAAGCCCATGTGGTTGCCTCTGACTGCTTGTGCCTCCCTTTCTACCTTCACTGACTTCAGTGCCACTGGGCAATTTCAGCCACGTTATAAAGTACAGGAAAAAATTGAAATTTTGGAAAAAACAATACCTGGAGGGTAGGGAGTGACACAGATGAGTGCTTCCGTAGGTAACTGGCAGGCAGAACTGAGATGTGATGGATGGTATTACACTTTTAGCAGCAGTGAGCTGCTGGATTGGCACAAGTAGCTCTGGACTTACCAGCCCAGCTCATACTTTTCTGTACCTAGAGGGTGAGTGAGAGGACTTTGGTGGAATGTCTGGTTATTGCAGCCAGGGAGGCAGGAGGGAACAAACAGAATTCTTGGCCAACAGTGGCTGAACACAAGCTGGCAGTGTGCCCAAGTGGCCAAGAAAGCCAGTGGCATCCTGGCTTGGATCAGCAATAGTGTGGCCAACAGGACCAGAGCAGTGATTGCTCCTCTGTGCTCAGCACTGGTAAGGCCACACCTCGAGTGCTGTGTCCAGTTCTGGCTCCTCTCACTTTAAGAAGGACACTGAGATGATGGAGTGTGTCCAGAGAAGGGCAACAAAGATGCTGAAGGGTCTGGAGCACAAGTCCCATGAGGAGACACTGTGGGAGCTGGGGTTTTTCAGCCTGGAGAACAAGTGGCTCAGGGGGGACCTTATTGTCCTGTACAACTACCTGAAAGGAGGTTGTACTGAGGTGAGGGTTGATCTCTTCTCCTAAGTAACAACTGACAAGACAAGAGGAATTGGTCTCACGTTGCACCGGGGAAGTTTGGATTGGGAAAATTTTCTCCACTGAAAGGGTAGTCTGGCATTGGAGCAAGCTGCCCAGGAATGGCTCAAAAGGCATGTGGATGTGGCAGTTGTGGATATGGTTTAGAAGTGAGAACAGTGACCAAGGGTGTACAGTGGCACTTGGTAATCTTAGAACTTATTTCCAACCTTAATGATTCTGTGATTCTATGAAATGTAGAGGTATCTGGGCTCACAGAGCTTCCTGTTCCTGTTTTTATTCTGCAGTAATCAAACTGCTTTTTTTTTTGTTTTGAAAGACAGTGGAGTAATAATAAATTGCAGATTAATTTTTCACATCTAAATCCAGATGGAGTATCTAAAATTTTTTTTTCTTGTTGTAAGCAAATAAAATGAGGTGAGAAAAATAATAAGGAAATAAGTTTAGGTGTCAAGAGAGGATTGAGTGCTATGTCTGGGGTTTGTGTCAACAATTAATTCACAATATACCATCTGCTAATCTGGTAGCTATTGTTTTGGTGGCAGATGCCACGCAGCTGATTTTGTTTGGAAACTATTGAGTAGAAAATCTGAATGAAGCTGCTTTCATTTGTTTTCATGTTTGTCTAATTGAAAGAAGCCAATATGAGGTTTTTGCAAGGGCTTGGTTTTTGAAGGTAGCTTGGTTTTCTTGAGGGGAAGGGGAATTTTTTTACTGCAGTACAAGAGATGTTCTGCGTATCGCTTCCAAGCAATTTTTTCCCCCACATTTTGGAAGCCAAAAGAATTACATCAACAGAGAGAAAGTGTACTCACTTACATGTACCCCTTCCCAGCAGTTACACCACCCATGCAGATAAAACTTCTGATCCAAAGTCAGCCAGGGTCATGACAGTTTTTTCCAGAGTTTGGTAGGATGGGTTTATGCCAGAGCAGATTTGCAATATATTGATGGCAAGGATTGTTAGGTTGCTGCTAGTTCTCTAGCACTTCCCATCTTATAAAGGACAGGTAGGTTCCAGACATCATTGATAGGGGAAGATCCTATACTGTACAAAAAACACCACTGGCTGAAGAGAATATATTCTCCATATGAAGAGCTGCAGGATAAGGCTTTGTGTATAAAAAGAGAAGCAGAGAGGGATGTGGAAATGGGCTTAGGCTTTGATGTGAACGCTGGTACTTGGCATATGTTAAACTTGTGCCAAGTAACCCGATTAAATGTGCAGTGATGAAAAGCTTGGACTGCTTGCTGGTTTTAGTTTTGCTTTATGACTGTGGGAAAGTGTTGTATGTTATCTTTAATGTGAATATTGTGTTGCTATCATCCGACCAAAAAAGGATGTTGAAACATTCAATCCATTAAAGCTTATGAAGTTGTTTGGTATATTTTATAGGAGAGGCTCTATAAAAGTGTAGAATAGTAAACATCTGTGGCATTTCTGAGTCACCAGTCCTCTTAATATCCGAGTATCTCTCCTGAAAAGAAATCACACAAAACCCCCTTCCTTTTCTCAACCTGAGCCTGTTACTGAAATTTATTTTCCTTTCAGCTAAATTCCTTTGGGATTCTGCATTCAGTATTGTGCTTTGTGCCCTAGCCATTCACAACCTAACAGCAATTTCTGCTTTTCTTGAGGCTCACATGCCCTTATCATTTGAGCTGCAGAAGAGCCTCTGTAGAGAACAGAGCAAAGCCAGCGCTGTGCCCCGCAGACATGGTTAGCATGCGACAACCAGCCTGGCACGGTCTGGGGAGCAGCACTGTGCCTCCTGCCCTTGCTGACTGACCTCACAGCTCCTGCTTATTTCAAGTACTGCACAAGAACAGAGCTTCACATTGCCTTCAGAATAAAGATAGGGTGCCTCAAGGTACTGATAAGTTTATCCTTCCTTTAGAGACATAGTTACAGAGCTGTTGTGGGCAGAAAAAATTCTTTTTGCAACTACACTGGCACTTCAGCACTGGTATGACTTGTAGTGAGAGGGGCAACTACCATCACATGTTTGTTAGAGTTTTGATACATGAATGTGAAATTCACCTTTTAAAATTATTTTAAAATGTTTTAGGCACCATGAGTTTCACAGTATTTTAATTGGAGTTGAAAACTGGGACTTTTTTTGTTTGTTTGTTTTGTGCTGAACAAATCTAGGGGAGAAGGGAAAGCAAAAATTAGTAATTAGAAGTACTTTTTCCTCCTTGCTCAAAGGTAATAATGAGAATAATCATTGTTGCACTGAGGCATGTGAAACAGTGTGGCCATATTAAGGACATAAATGCACAAGAAACAAACAGACCAGCTAGACAGGGGTAGCACTGAGGGTATTGAGGGTTTTCTGTGTGGTTGTTGCCCCACTCATGTCAGTCTCAAGAGTCCTTATGCTGATTTTCAGCAGCTTTTCCTCTTTTGTGTTGCTCCCATTGAAAGAAAACTGTTTTCAGACAGCAGCATGCCCTGTTTGGGGCACTACCACTGTTGTTTTGGGACCCTACCACCATTGTTTGGGACAATCCAAAACAGTTTTATGGCAATATGCATTTTAAAACCAAGACTCTTCTGGGTTTCATAACATTATGTGAATATCTTCTATAATACCTGTTAGCCAGCCGTGTCTCTGTGAGACAAAACAAATCATCCAGCCGTGCTTTCCAGCAAAGATTAAAGCAATTGTTATTCTTCAAACACTGACCAAGCTTGTAAATCTTTTTCAATTGAATTCAGTATGGAAGGAAAAAAGCACTTTATTTGGTTCTGCTTTCATTTTGAGTGGGTAAATTGGTTCTGTTTGGGAACAGAATATAAAAACTCAAAGCATCCCCTCTAGAAAGAAAAAGGTGATTTCCTACCACAAAAGAAGAGCAGAGAAACATGTGTAGCACTGAATTTTCTCACTACAACAATATACAGCCAGATACCTTACAGTGGAATTTAAAGACAAATTTGAGCTAAGACTGCATCTCCAAAAAGGAAGGGCAAGGGGAGACCTTTTTTCACTTGTAATTGCTCTGGACTTCTTTGCATGCAATGTCATAATTGCTCAGCCTTGCAGTATGCCAATTTTGTTCCCTGGTCCATTGCCAGAAAAGAAAAAAGAATAAAGTTTGTTTTTCAGTTGGATGAGCAAGACAGTCTAATGTAAGCAGGGCAATGCAGTTGGGAAGGCAGTTGGAGGTGGAAGCACAGACCAGGACTCACCTCTGCCTCTGACACCAGGACTCCCAAGCAGTTTAAGGGGTGAGAATTTAAAATCCTAAGGTAGGATCCCCCTTCCAACCGTTCTTGTAGATGAGTCACAATGGCCAACCTCCATCCCACTGGGACCTCCCTAATTAGCTAGGGCTCATGATAAATGATGGAGAGGGGCTTGGCCAGCTTTTCAGCTCCCTCACTACCTTGGGATGTATTCCATCTGGTCCCACAGACTTGTGAGGGGCCAAATAGCTCAGCAGTCCACCAGCTACTTCCTCTTGGAGTGCAGGGGGTCTACTCTGCTCCCTGTCCCTGACTACTAGCTCAGGGGGCTGGTTGCCCTGAGGATCACTGGTCTTTCTGTTGAAGACTGAAGCAAAGAAGGCATCAAGTACTGCAGCCTTCTCCTCATCTTTGGTTATAGTGTTCCCCTCTGCAACCAATAAGAGATGGATATTTTTCTTGGCCCTTTTTATGTTGTTACTGTATTTATAAAACCACTTTTTATTATCTTTCACAGCAGCGGCCAAATAAAATTCTAGCTGAGCTTTTGCCTTTCTTATTTTCACTCTTTATGACCTAATGACATCCTTGTGCACTTCCTGAGTTTCCTGCCCCTTCTTCCAAAGGTCATAAACTCTATTTTCCCTTGAGTTTCAGTAAAAGCTTCTTATTCAGTCAGGCTGGTTTTCTTCCACAGCAGCTCATCTTCCAGCACATGGAAATGGCCTGCTCCTGTACCTTTAAAATTTCCTTCTTAAAGTATGTCCAGCCTTCATGGATCCCTTTGTTTCTAAGGGCTGTTTCCTAAGGGACTTTGTGAACAAGTGTCCTGAACAGACTGAAGTCCAAGCTCTGGAAGTCCAAGGTAGAAGCTTTGTTGATCTCCCTTCCTTACTTCACCAAGGATCAGAAATTATTATTTTGTGGTTGCTGTGCCAAATTTGGCCACTGACCACCACACCTCCCACCAGCCCTTCTCTGTCAGCAAGCAGCAGGTCTAGCAGAGCACTGCCCCAGCAGGCTCCCATACCAGCTGTGTCGGGGTGTTACCTTCCACACACTCCAGAACTTCCTAGACTGCCTGCTCTCCACCGTGATGAGCTGCCAGCAGATATCTGGGGAGCTTTACATTACCTGCAGTCCAGCTCCAAGCTCTGGCACCTTTAGTGCCTCTGAAGGCATCAGCTTCTCTGGGGAGAGAGAGTACCAAGGTGCAGGTTCTGGCACATGTGGAAACTTACATGATAGTTTCCTTTCTATAGAACTACCAAACATTCACATGTAATTCTGAGATAAAAGCCACAGTAAGTTTCAGCTAATTAAATTATACTATGAATAAATTATAGTTTGAATAATTCTTTGAAGAGGCAAGGAGTTCAGTCTTTCTGCCTATTTTGCAATGTTACTCAGCAGAACAGCCACATCCCTGGGCCACCAAAGCCCTGATATGGGATGCATAAGGCAGGACACAAACACTTATTCTATTGTTTAGTTATTGAAAATAAAAGTATAGGCTTCCTGGTGGGGAGTGGTTCAGCTGGGAACTGATTAGCATGTGCAGTAAACAAAAAACATTTCAGTAACAAAACCCAGGCTTCATTTGCTTGGGAAAACCACTGTATGCTAAAATTCTAAGAGAAAGGCTTTTCTGAGTATTTGTGTAATGTATTGTTGGGAGTCATGTGTGCCTGAAAGAATATGTGTGTTTTGTGGACAGCTGACTTGCCCAGGAGAACACAGCATGCAAATCTGATGTAAAATGTCAAAGAGCAAACAATGTGAGTTAAGGCTCACAGCATATGTCTTCAGGCTGTGCTAGTGTGCTACTGTGAAAACACAGAGCGCAGCATCTGAGCTGATGCCAATGAGTGCTCAAAAGATGAAGATAAGTCCTACAACTTCAAATAAATGCCAGTTTCCTCATATCTTTCTGATGATACAAGATGTTTTATGGTTCTGGTTTGAGCAGTGTGCCAGCAGAGATGATCAGGTTGCACTAATTTAGTTTGTATTACCTAGGAGATAAGCAGTTCCCATTTCCAGGCATAAAACAGTAACTCCCTTTCTCAGAAATGAACTGTTGATTCTTAATTCCACTAGAGAGCTGAGATTCAGCTGTAATCATTCACTGAGACACAGGTAAATTCGATTTTCTTGTTATAAAATACAGTTTCACTGAATGAGAAGTTGATCTTCTAATATTAAATAGGATTGATAGTAGCATTATGCAAGTGTCCCATCAGCCAACATAAACCATGGACATAATCCTCTGTTTGTTGCATTATTGCAGTACTTCATAATATTACAGACTTAAAATCTCTGTGATGTGGCCAGTGACAATTTCTTGTCCAAGTGGAAATCTTTTGACTTTGTCAATTCTTTGTATTATTTTACAAATTGACTAAAGTGTGACAATAGTAACAGTAGCCTGAAAGGAGTAATACTATTTATTAATGTTGAAGATCATTTGCTATGGAGGGAGATTTTTGTTTACATCAGGAGATCATGGTAGAGATGGGTTATCTGTTTGGCACGAAGGTGATGAGAAATGAAGTTGTAGTCATGTAGTTGAGATAGGAATATCATCACTTTAAAAGAATTAAGTAATTTTGGCTACTTCTGAGCTTAATTTTTTAAAAAGACATCATTTACCAAGTAACAAAGAAAACAGTGAACTGTTTTTGCCCTCTCAAAACCCATTCATTGCTGCAGAGAAGAGACCACAAAAATTAGCAGCTGGTAAAGCATCACACTCAGCAGCTGCTGGTTTTTTAAGTGATGTTTGTGGTTTCCGTAAATACAAAACAAGATGGGATTTTGCCATAGTTTAGAAGTTGTATTTTCAGGAAAGTGAGTGTTTGGCAACTAAGATCCTGAAGCACAGGAAAAAAAAGGAGTTTTATCCCAAGCTACTGCAGAAACCCACGTGAAAGTCAGATGTAAAAGCCAAACCAACCAGCTCCAGTGTTGTACTAAATGACCAGCTAAGCTCTCTTCCATCTACTGTTTCCTTTTCCTTCCTGTAGCTGGCTGACAGATAAGTATCTAGGATAATGTCTTTACATACCACATATCTAGTTTAAGCCCTATTTATTTCTGCTTTTAATATCACAGTAGTTAGATGTTTCTCTTCCAGTGGACCAAAAAGCTTATTTCTTGCTCCAAGGACTTAAAAGCTAATAATAGGCATAGAACAGTGAAAGGTTAGAATCAGCAAGCTAAGGCAGGTGAAAGCGAGGGACTGGGCTATGAAATACCATGGTTCTTTTCTTAGCTCTGCCTCTGATGTGCTGAGTGATGCTGGATAAAACATTTCTGCCCCTTGATAGCACATGTTTTCTCTGTCTAGATTGACAATGTTTGTAGGAGAGGATGCCCTTTCTCATTATATGTTAATGAAGGTTTCAATTCAATTAATTTAATTCTTCAGTGTCTACTTTTTGTCAGTGCATGAGAAGACCAAGCTATTGCCAGTTTATCTCTGCCATATGGGGGACTCTCCTTCCTCTGGAAGCACCTGAAGGATGAAATAGGTGGAAAATTTTGGCTCACATCAGCCTTAGAACCATGGGCTTTGCTGTACTACCAATGACTAGCAGTGGTCATGGCTGTTCAGAAGTGAACAGCTTGGCCAGGACACAGACCCGGGAGGGCTGTGTTTGCTCATGGGTTGTCAAGCTCTACCTGGCTTGTTTTTGAAGAGTTTAAAAAATGAGTGTCACTACGATAATAATGTTATAGCTTTACTTATTTTATACAAAGAGGTGAGTTGGCTGAAGAAGGCAAAGTTAATTTTAATGTCTTCTGTTTTCTCTTGCTGACTCTCTCATAAGGACGTGGAGATCACCGTGGCACTCTCACCATTGGGAAGAAACAAAGTCCTTGCAAGGTTAGTGACTTGTAGCAAGAGTTTTTCAGCTCCTATTGCAGATGTGCAATAGTTTGCACAGCTGGTGCATGTGCAGATTGGTAATGTGATTTTGAATCAAGTGATGCTGTTCCTTGGCGTTCCCAGGAGGTTTCCTGATTCCTCCTCTTCTCTAGCAGAGCACTGGAATATATGCAGCACGCTGAGGGGACTAGTGGAACTTCCATCAACTTAAGAATAGACTGAACTGCCAGGAACAATTTCTGCACAACTAAGCCTTTTTAGGGCCAGAGAACAAAGCAAACTGGTGTTTCTCAGCCTGTGGACCTCACACCTCAGGCAGTCAGTAAGGAAGCAGTAGGCAGTCCATGAAACAGACTCAACAACCATGAAATGGATGCATGCCTCCTTACATCAACAAACAGAAAAGATGAAGGCAAAATGCTGTTACTAAAGGAACACCTGAAGATAAGCTTCATTATTTGTTTAGTTGTTTATGGAAACCATTGTGCCAGTACTTGTTTTTTCTTTTCCTCATAACACTGGGAGGATCCTCAGTGTTTGGGGAAAAAAAAAAAAATAATAAAAAGGGCTGTGATGATGTTTTGATTAAAGTGTAAAAAATAAAGGAGAATGGACTCTAAAGATTGTTACCAGCTCTGCTTTTTTATGGTCCTGTATCCTCTGTGGTTTCTACTTCTGCTCTCTTTTTTATAATTTTTTGTCACTATTTATGGTTCTTTCTTCCTGTTACAAATAAATAAACAAACAAATAAATAAAGATAAGTTGTAGGTGCAGCAAACACTTCCCAGCAATGTTTAGACCAGAAAAAGGAGCTCTTCCATCTCTCAAACTGTGAGGATAATTTAGCTTGCTTGTATTAGAATTGATAGATCAACTGTTCAGAGGCTTGTGTTCTTTCTCTTATTTCTCACTGTTCCATCTCCAGTTCCCAAAATACTGTGCCTTCTTCCTGTAATTTGCCAGCTTTTTGAGCTCCAAGCTGTCTGCCCTTTGTGCCTCTAACACTTAGGATGCTTCCCCACTTCCTCTCCAGTTATTCAGTTTGTTCTTGCATTTTCTTACTTTCCTATCACTGCCTTCTGCCTGCCATTTTCCTCCACACAAAAATACCTTTTCTGCTTTTAAAGTAATTAAATTAGCAGAGCTGATTGAAAACTAGGTGAAGTAATTCTCTGAGCACTGTGCTTTTCAATGGATGCATTACTCAATGCACATTAGCCAGCCTGTAGGCGTCAGTGAATGACAGAAATTAATATTTGATGAATATATTCAACAACAATGGCATTATTCAAACACTTTACTCAATAAAGTACATTCAGCACACTCACAAGTTAATGGTGCATTCAGGTTACTCTGTTTGCTCAGCAGAACATGTGCCCAACCCCAAGAAGGAAAATCAAGTCACTGATACATGTGAGGGAAACGGGCTGGGAAGCCTCTTCTGGTCATTTGTGCCTTGCATGAGCAGGACAAAGTATATGTGTATGTTGCTGGGGGTGTTTAAATCCCATATAGGGAATAAAGTATATATGTGATGAGGAAGAGAGATTATTTGCTCTATTTCCCTGACTGACAGATCTTGTTTTCATGCTTATCACTTGCACTTCAGCTAGAAATGAGAAAAACAAATCAACACATTTCTAATCTTCAGTTTTTGATCAAACTGGGGTGTGCATGTGTATATTTAGCAGAAGGTTGAAGTAAATCTAACCACAAATCCCTGCTTTTCACTTCTTGCTCCATTTAATGTTTCTTTGAGTACTTGGTGCAAATAACCTATCTTCTACCGTTTAAGACTCTCTAATGCCTCCTTGTAATTTGCAGTAGTGACCAAGTCTCTTTTGTGGTCTGTATGTCCACAGTGCCAAAGAGGTACTCCTTTAATGCTTTTGTAACTTTTTAAAAACTTTGAGTAATTTCATTTTTAGCTTCAGCATTGGACATTACCCTGACACAAATTGATGTCATCTACATTTCCCACAATCTACTCCATTTTTTTAGCTAGCTTCCCTTCTTGACTGCCTTTGTTTCTTTCTGCACAAAATGAATCTTCTCCAGATTCTAAGGCTGAAATCTCTCCTTAGCTGTAAGGATTTGGATCACACTTTTCCTCTCTTGTCCTTAGATTAGCCAGAATATAATTTTGCTAAAACATCATGCCCTGACACTACTCAGCATCTTCTGCCATGTGTACTTCCACTTCTTGAAGTGTTACAAAATACTACTGCCATATTTTTCCTACTGCCCAGCTATGCGCTCACTAGATGATTTTTCTTTTTTTGTTGTCTGAATCCTCACCTTCCTCTGAATTTCATACTGCCCACTTAATGTGTCTTCTCTAGCCTGAGCTAACTTGACCCCTCATCAGTCTTGTGCCTGTGCTGTCCCATAAATATTTTTTCTCTTGTTTACCTGTTGAGTAACTACTTGTCTTTGAAGTGTGTTTTATTTTTTTTCCATTCCATATGTTCTTTCTTTGCAATGCTTCAGTGAATCAATTGTATCTTCAAAGGATGCAAAAGCATCAGCTGACATCCACATCTATAGCAACAGTGCTTATAAAGCAAACATAACCTTTCCAAAGCACACTTGCAGCTCCTTTGAACAGGGGAACTATGCTAGTTACAAACAATACTACAAAAGAGGCTCTGTGGCCCTTTAGGTTTGACGCTGAAGGTTGTTTTCTACAGCCATTTCTCATTATCAAGTTAAGGCTAAAACTGGAAAAGAAATAACCAAAGTTCTGCAGACCTCTGGCTGCAGAAGCACTGTGGGCCACAAGACCTACCCTGCAGCCCTTCAATAAATTTCAGTTTCCCTTCAACAGAGCACACAGACCAGGAACCACTTCCAGTTCTGTGGAATCCCTGATGCCTCATTACTAAGCATCTAGGTAACAGAATGTGTTGCTCTCTTTCAAATTAGCTTTGCAGGAATTTCATCCATCCAATATTCTGTCTGATTAGAATTTGCTCCTTGCTCAGGATCTGTTCCCTTTAGTCAAATACTTGATCCCTGTTTTCTTTGGTCAGGACTTCTTAGTCTCCTTTATATTGTTCTTGTCATTGTGGGATTGGCAAAGAAAGTGTAAAGTTGTTCTTTTCCAATCCCTCTTGCTGCTCAGTTAAGGAAATAGCAGCTCAGCTTTGGGAAAAAGAGTAAATTTCTCAATCTATATTTAGGTATAACCATGACCTGATTTCCACCAGTGCTGGTTCCCACTGATCTTGGTGATCCAGCATGTCTTTCATTTCTGTTCACTGGGAGGCTCAGAACTGAGTTACACCATGGTTGGTGTAACTCCAACCATGGATTGATAGGTGAAATCAGGCTTTTTACATTAGAAAGGGATGGTGCACTTATAGTGGCCATCAGCAAAAGCCCCCTTGCACTTGTTTTCTATGGAACAACAAAATTCAGGATTCCCTCCAACAGTCCTTGTGCACGTAGAAAGCCTTAGAAGAGGTCTCTTGAGGTTTTCCTTCAAATCTCCAGAGATCAGCTAATCCACAAGATACAAATGAACAGGCTAACATTGTTCAGTGAATGCTTCGTTTCCTTGCCTGTGATTTATTACATAGTGGTGTGTTCATGTTTGCTGTTCATCTCCTTTGAGACTGTTGTGACTGTGTGTTGCTTATTTAGAAAGCATTTAAGCCCTGAAGCTCATGTCTTCAAAAGTTTTATTAAACTTCTGCTTGAACTCTGTTTGCAGACATGGAAGACATAAATAGCTCTTTAATGAAAAAGTAACCACATTGCCAAACATATTTAAAAGCATAGGAGCATATGTCTGAAAGGAGATAAGCTGGTATTTCCCTGTTATCTTTTTTATCTGCAGCATAAAGGAGTAGCTTGGTAACCATTTTTGGCAGTATAAATCAGGAATGTATTAATTTCTGCAGGTGTCCTTCAGCTCCTCAAGCTAGTGCTCAGCTCTAATGGTAGCAATGCAGGAATATCCAAATAATCTTGCTTCCCAGCAGAAGCCTGACCATAGGCAGAGGTCATGAAGGGCTAAAGAACTGAGGGACAGCAAAAGAAGCACTGAGCTTTCCATCTGTGTTGAGCCTTATAGAATCAGAATCACAGAATCATTTCGCTCAAAAAAGACCTCCAAGATCGAGTCCAACCTTTGACCAGTGTTACACCTCATCAACTAGACCATGGCACTAAATCCAATCTTCTAGAATACCTTGAAGTGATGGTGATGTGACCCCACCATCTCCCTGGGCAGCCCATTCCAATGCCTGAATACCTTTTCCATGAAGCTTTGTGATGCTCTGGCCTGATTACTCCTCAGACTTGCAAGCAGATGAACTTTTTCATTCCATCAGCAGTACATGCAGCTACAGCAGTGTCAGTGGGATTTGCGTGTGCCACTGCAGCCACAGAGGGGTTCATTTTCTCTCCTGCTGGGCAGAGCTTGCAGGAGCAGAAGATGGGATGAGGACATTAAATGACAAAACACACAGATTCTGATTTCCCTTCTCACCTCATGTTTCCCAGCCATTCTGTGTGCTGGGAATACATCCACTTTTTGCTCTTATAGAACAAAGAAGCTTGATACCCACAGTCAGACCTGGAGATGGGGCCAGATGCAAAGATGACTGTATATTCTTGGTGGCTATCAGGTCTTCCTTTGACTCTGATAAATCTCACTGCCAGTGGCTCCTTCGGCAGCTTTTCCAGAAGAAGTGTTCTAGAGTTAGGAGAGGGGAAGACTTGTACAGATAAGAAACTGTAACACACACACACACACAACATATGCAGACATATTTGGGAGTAGTGGTAAGAAATAAAATAAATAAAATCCAGTGAAGCAGGAAATTATTTAAAATATTGCACAAGTTTACTCAGAAGTTGACCACAGACAAAAAGCAATCAATTTGCATTTTTGTAGACAGCTTAGTATGGGACGCTTGGCTCCTATGCATAAATTTGAAAGTGAAATCTGACTTGACTGTGTATAGTATTTGCATAACTGACAGGGCTAAGTTGAGTGTAATTCAGTGGTAGTGTTGGCCTGAACTTGCCAGAGAAAGCCCTACCTGACAGTCAGAAGACACTCAGGGAGAACAGGCACATTTCTTGCAAAGGACAGCTTAACAGAATGATTAGACTTCAGCCTAATTGACAAAATTATTTAAACAGCTAATAAATTTTGTTAAATAGCCTCAGAATGTATCAGAATTATTAAATTATTAGAAATAAGAACTGCTTATTCTTATTTAAATGCTCAATAATATTAAATTACTTCTAAATGCTTAATAATTTGAAATTGTTTCAGCTACTTCACCCAAGAGGATGCATCTCTCTGATCTTGTGTTTCTTTAATACAGCTTTTCCTTCCTTCCTTATGAGAAAAATGAGCTGGGCGTTCCTACGTGATCTGCTGAGTGGAGTGAATAAATACTCAACAGGAATTGGAAGAATTTGGGTAGCTGTGGTGTTCCTGTTCCGATTACTGGTTTATCTTGCTGCCGCAGAAAATATCTGGAAACATGAACATGATGAATTTGAGTGCAACATCAAGCAGCCTGGTTGTGAAAATGTCTGCTTTGACCATTTCTTCCCTGTCTCTCACATCAGACTTTGGGCTCTGCAGTTAATCATGGTCTCCACCCCTTCACTCTTGGTTGTCTTTCATGTTGCTTACAGAGAAAACAGAGAGAAACGCCACAACCAGAAACTTTACAAAAATACAAGAAAGACAGATGGTGGGTTGCTGTGCACTTACCTTATCAGCCTCATTTTAAAAACAGGGCTTGAAATATTTTTTCTTGTTCTGTTCTATAAACTGTACAACGGCTTCAAAATACCACGTCTTGTGAAATGTGACATAAAACCATGTCCCAATACTGTAGACTGTTACATTTCCAAACCCACAGAGAAGATGATTTTCCTCTATTTTCTGGTGGCAACTTCATGCCTGTGCATCATATTAAATCTAAGTGAACTGAGTTATCTTCTGTTCAAATACTCCATAAAATGTTATCTGAAGAGACACATGAAGAACAAGCAAGGCTCAAAAGCAATTGCTGTGAATCAGAACTCATCAGGCACAACAGAGCAGCAGCTGCAGGATGACTCCACAACAGCTCATCATCTTTGCCTCTGAATATGCAAGATGAACATGAAAAACATTCCCCGCTGACTTGAAAGAAGGCTGGAGATCACCCTCCCATAACACAAGCTGGTTTTAACAAATTGCTTTTCCAATCAGTGCTTTGCAGAACTGTCCTTTGAAAGGATAGTTACATAGGAAATGCTGTTTCTCTGTTAGTTCCCCATTACTTGAGCTGATAAATTCAGCTACATTATGTATGTTGAACATAGAATCATTGAGACCTTTTCATGTTCAAATAAGAAATGCAGAAGTTCTGAGAATTCCATGAAGCTTTAATATAAACACAGAAGCTTATGATAAATCATGCTGAAACAATTGTTCAAACAGTTGTGTACTGAATATTACACAGAATTGCTTTGGTACAAGCAAAAATAGTCTTTTTATATGCAGAGATAGGAAGAACCTGGGATTGATTAAGATGAACAGCAAGGGGTGTACAGGATTTGTCAGGTGGGTGGATCAGACCTGGTAACTGCTGAAATGGCAATGGGAAAGTGCTGGCACAGAATGATTGCTGTGCCTTGAGGTGAGCTGGATACTCACGAGTCCATTCCATTGTACTATAAAACATCTCAAAAAAAAAAAAAAGAAGAAAAAACAAGAAGAGGTAGACACATCTAGTTTAGCCCATGTGATAAAAACAGATTTGGTTATTTAGCTGTTTGTGGAGCACCTCCTTCTGAAATTATTTGAGCCCTTATAGCTGTTAGGGTGCTAATCATCAAAAAGCATCCTTAAAGAAAGGCACTTGTTCAAACTTGTGCAAGCAGCATGTACCAGGGTATAGAGTTAACTCCTGGTCACCTGCACCAAGCAGCTCCCATGTGATTAGACTTGTCTTCTGCTCTGTGATAGTGTCATTTAGGTGAACAGATCATTCCCACTTCCCTAGGATCTGAACAGAGAAATTAAGACCGCACAATACAGCAGAACAATTGCCAGTAGTCCCTAGTATTAAGTAGCCTAGAATCTGGTCCTTTTAGTAAGGCTGAAAATATGATACTCCTTCAGTAAATTTCTCTGCTGCAGAAGAACACATGAAATCTAAAATTATGAAAAGCCTCCAGCAGAAACAAAGTAAAAAAGAATCATCTGTTCCCTCCCCCAAATTTCAAAGTATCTCATAAACACCACACATCTCTGCTCTTTGTTATCTGTGTTGTTTGGGCTAACAGGAAAGGGACAGGAATCAGCTAATCTGTCGAATCCAGCCTTCTAAGACAATGGAAAGCAGTGCCTTTAAAAACTTCCTTTGGGGTAGGGCTCTCTTTCTGTTGCTGGAATGAAAGACCTTTGGACATACATCTGGTACTGAGCCTGATCAAAATGCACTGTTTAGAGAAAAACGTCAGCTGAAGTGGAGCGACCTGAATGGTGAACTAATTTTATTGTTTGTGTCAAGATAAGGAGGAAGAAACAGTGGCAAAAGCAGGTTAACTAATTTTTTTTCTCTGAGTCCCCTCTGGCCCGTGGCTTTGGTTACAAAGCTTTACATTTAATGAGTAGCAGTTACAGAACAGAACGTAGCAACTAATGAACAAGCTATAAACTTTTGATGGTGATTTTCAAGGTAGGGTTTGTTGGTTTTGTGTTTTTTTTACCTAAAATAAACATACTTTTATAAAATATGGGGCGACATTTGCTGCTGCTGAAATTAGCAGCAACAGCAGTCCCTCAAATACCAGCTTGCCAGCTTGTGGCCAGTTAGTTTTAAATCTTGACTGATGCTGAATCAGTGCTCATTTAGAGACAGGGCGCTTTATATAATTCAGAACATTTTCTGTTAAACTTCTACATACACAGAAAGTGGCCCATGACAGAAATGCAGTTAGAAAGTCTTTTGCAGCTCCTGGACAAAACCCATCAAAGATTCGGAAGAAAAACCGCCCATGAACCCTGTGAAACTGCAACTGCCGCAGCTTAAGTAAATGAGAACAAACCCCAAAATTATCTTGGCCCTTTTGGACCCTTATGCATCATTTTATTATGATAAGGGCAACACTGTCAAAGAAAAAAAATGTTTCTGAAATATCTGGGTTTTAATAACTGTGGACAGATTTTTAAGAGCACATCAATGAAAAAATATTTATACATTGTTTTTAAGGTAAGGTTTATTTGATAGAAAATAAGGATAAGAAAGCACAGTTTAGCTAACACAGGCTTCTGATAAAATTAGTGCATTAGCAGCTCTCTAATAAAAAAGTTTATTAAGTCAGGGCTTGAAGGGTTTTAGACACCCCCTAAAGCTCTGTGGCTGGTCAGACATTACCACTTAGACCAAAAAATTTCCCATCAAACAAGAATTCTAATTCTTTGGAATGGATATTCAAAGTTTTATTTTTAATTCTATCTTCCAACAGCCAAGAAATTATAAATAAATTCCAAAATAATGTTTTAAGTCTTGGAGGATACTTCAGATTTGACAAAGCCAGTACCTTACATGAGAAATACTTTGAAAGATTATTATGGACCAACTCCACATAACCCAACTCACTCGCAGCAAATTGCCAAGTAGCCTTCACATCATGTGCTGCAAAATTTGAGTATTTGACATGGCTACTAATGAAAAGGAAATGAGCACAACTTAACCTGAGAGAACAGAAACCAATTCATCTGCTTTCTAAACCCTTGCTCTTGGCAACCATTTGGTTTTCTACTGACTCCTTCCCTTGCCCCACTTTTACATGCTTTTGTTCTCCAGTTTAAGTTTTGCTCATCCATGCACCCCTGAAGGCATTTGCTGTTACATTTTTGGTTCAAATAAGTTTACAGGTTTGATCCCTAAACTTCTGAATCACTCAGACTAACATTTTAAAAAATTGAACTCAAGTGCTATGTTCTGCAAGGACATAAGCAATTGATAAGAAGCTGATCTGAGCCCATACTGTAATGGAGAAATAACATAATCACTGCATGCACATTCATACAAAAATATTTACCTTATTAGTATTTCAAAACATCCCTGCAAACATCAAAAGATCTGTGTCTTACATAGACTCTCATTTTCCTTAAAATCCAAGTACGCTTCTTGCCTTGGGACAGAAGAGGTTTGGAAAAAAGACACAAAGGATTTCCCTATTTGCTGTTAGTTTCTTTCCTCTATCTCCCTTCTCCAGTACCAATGGCACCATTTCCCATCCCTTTAATTGCATCATCTCCATACCATCTCCAGGCATGGCTGAGCAGCACATGAGCAGGAGCTTCTACAACTCGAGGACCTAACCCCAGTGCAGCCTGTCCCTGCCCCTGTCCCTCTCTCCCCTGCACACAGGTGGGAGCCCCAATCAACTAATTCTTTGGCACAGAAATTAAATAGTTAGCCAACAACTTGCCTCTCACCTGACCCAACAACTAATTCCAATGTTATTTGTACAAGCATTGCTCACTTACTATCCAGTATCCTAGACCAAATGTGCCAGCATAATGCTCTAGAACCCACAGTCCCCCCATCCTGCTGAGAAGGACCACCCTGAAACATGTGGGGACAATCCCACTAATCTTATTTACACTGAATTAGGGCTCAGGTAATAGCAGATTTCTTTATAAACATAGTTGAGCATCAGAGGGATTGACTGTAAATTTAAAGGTGTCTTTTGATGACAAAACAGTCCATGCTCTGCATTCAGACCCCTCAATTTGGTTGCTTCCCCATCAGCAACACCTGCTGCTTTAGTCAGCACATTCCTGATGGCAACAAGGGGCTTCAAAGAAAGCACCTTTGTCTGAATGCTCCACAGTTGACCGTGACAATTCTGGAAGGCAGAGACATAGAGGAAGGAGAAAAGGCAGAGGACTGGGCAGTGGGGCCAACAGCACCTTTGGGGCACCCCGCAGGCTGAAGTGCTGCTGGTACATCTGGCTCAGCCACCTTGGAGCCCCATCCCGCCCAGCAGCCCCAAGGCAGGGGTGTTGCTTCAGGCCCCAGAGAAGCTGCCCATCCAGGTGTGCTACAACTGCTAGGGTGGGAAGTTTTCTCTATCACCCAAGGTAAAACGTCTGAATGCAGACACCAAATTTACTTCCTTGGAAATTTCTGTAGGTGGATTTACAAACCAGAGTGCCCTCTGCAGTCTGTGACATTTTAAATCAGACCCTGCCTTAGGTACCCCATTTTAAGTTCACAATACTCCTGTTTGTTTTTTAAAAAGGAAACAACAAACCCCATACTAGCTTATCTGTTGGACAGGCTGTCAGTAACCATTTAAAAGGGAGTGTGCCACTATATGGGTACAGCATCTGCTTTAATTGGATTCATTGGGATGAGACAGTATTAAATATTTTATTCTCAGAAATTCAGATCCAAATCAGAACTTGCTTCCTGGATATTTATGGCATTGGATTTTTTTATCCTTTTCTCTTTTTTTTTTTTTTAAATAGCATTCTAGTATAACACTGTGTAGCTAAATAGTTGTATGCTATTCTCAGTCCAAGAACTGCAAATGATACAGTATCAATCACTGGGAAACTATTCAACTTACACAACACAAACATTCTTCTAAAGACTAACAATTGTGAGGTCTGTTGACAGTGACTGAAGTGGTTAGGTACAGCTGAAAACAAGAGAATTCAGATGAGCTTTGAGGATCCTCTCCAGAGGATCTCTGCCCTCTTCTCCCCTGCAGAAGTTCCCTCTACAATCACCATGGCTGGTATCCAACAGCAGCTCCATCCAGGGGGACCAGCAGCCTCTGGCAGGTAGAAAATGGCACTGTTTACTTGTAATGATTATAATGATCGCTCTTGGAGTCAAAATGCAAGTGTTTGGTTTGGTTTTATAATTCTCAGACTGCACCTTTGATTTACTAACGTGGCATAAGTTTGGTCACTTGGGAGGGATGGAAAGTGAGAGGAGCTGATGGGCTCTGTTCAAATGGAAGCACAGGCTTTCTGCGAAGGTAAGCAATTTAGCACCATGTAGCAAACCAAGGGCTGTGCCCGAGGTCAAATGCTGTTGATGTTCACACATAATCCTCACTCTCGCAACAAGTCATTTCATTTGGTTGTAGGAAGGTGCCCTCTGCACTGATATTCTGGAAAACTGTCAGAGATTCCAGGTGAATAGCTTATGAGCAGTCAAATCTAGCATTTAATGCAAAAACTTTACACAGCAAGACAAGTTTATAGAAAAAAAAAATCAAGCCAATCTCACCCAAGATAAAGACTGTTTTATATTACTGAAGGTAGGTCACATCCAGTAACGATAATAATCCAAGAAAAGTTTTTGGTACCACACAATCCAGCTGGCTGAGTCAAACATAACCATGCACGAAAACCAACACTGAAGATTCCTGGGTACTGACAGCTCCCACCAATGC